CACAAAATCCACGTGACCAGTCAGTGACAAGGGAACATTCATAACACACCTAACAAGAATTTGGAAGCTATCGGCTCTGATTGGTCAATAACAGGTTTCAAATTACAACAACAACCATTGATTGACACAGCTGATTTGACGCCCATGTCATAACCAAAGTCCGACATTAATGGATAAGCACTTCTATCCTATGTGTTGTGGGTAGGCAATTCTAAACAATCCTATGAACAGTCATAGATGAGTTAATACAGTATGCAAAGTAAATTTGACTACATCTTGGACAGAAACACGATGTAAATTGACTAAGAATGTTCATTTCTAGTTTTCGGGACGCCCGAGAGCTGTGAATTGGGTACTATCTGCATTAGACTTGACGTTACGTAGATTACGTCACAATGAATGACCCGAAGATATAATAGTGACGTGTTGTGTGTAAAGAAACATTTCAGGGATTGATTTAACTTTATTTCCGGGTTTTAACTACACAGCAGCTGTGCTACACACTTCTAATGTATCCCTTATATACAAGTAATGTATAACGGTGTGACAATGTTTGATCATCGTGGTTTGTATCAACTACACAGCAGCTGTGCTACACACGTATAATGTCTCCCTTATATACGAGTAATGTATAACGGTGTGACAAAGTTTGATCATCAAGGTTTGTATCAACTCTTAGGCACGTGGCATAAGGAACATGGGCGGAATTATAAGTAAAACACAGAAGTGTGTTCATGAGGCTCTTGCCTACAAGATATTTGTTTGGATGTAAAATCAGTTAGTATAATTTTTTGAAAGAAAAGATATCCTGCGTAAAATGCACCTATATTAATGAGTGAGTGAGTAGGTCGTGTTTAACGCTGTGAAATTGTGAAAACATCCAGAATTTAAACCCACAATCAGCAGGTCCTTGCAACATAAAGTAGTATGAAGGGGCTTCAAGAGAGTAGGCTAGGGAGTAGAATGTAGGGGCTTCAAGAGAGTAGGCTAGGGAGTAGTATGTAGGGGCTTCAAGAGAGAAGGCTAGGGAGTAGTATGTAGGGACATCAAGAGAGTAGGCTAGGGAGTAGTAGTATGTAGGGGCTTCAAGAGAGTAGGCTAGGGAGTAGTATGTGGCGCTTCGAAGGAATAGGCTAGGAAGAACAGACACGCGTCTCTCACTCAGATCATTGTACCTTCAGGTGACGCCGCCCTTCCCGGGGAGAGTAAGAACAATGTCAGCAATACCCCAACTATATCACCACAGGCTGAATTGAATGTGGATGAGGCAGCCAGTGCACAAAAGCATGCGCAACGTTCCGCTCAACCAGGCACAGCTTCTGAAACCACGTCCGATGTTACAAACAAGAGATACAGAGCAGCACGTCGGGTTTTACAAACGTGAAATAATAGAGCACGTCGGATATTACAAACCTGAAATAATAGAGCACGTCGGATATTACAAGCGTGAAATAATAGAGCACGTCGGATATTACAAACCTGAAATAATGGAGCACGTCGGATATTACAAACGTGAAGTATTGAGAACATCTGATATTACAAACGTGAAGTATTGAGCACCTCGGATATTACAAACGGGAAGTACTGAGCATGTATATGACCACATCATCATTGAAGAGGTTGATTCATTTAACTATCTGAAACTCTACTAATCTTTAAATAAGTGATCACCGGTTCATGAATTCCCAATATACACAAACAAATCGACAGTAAGGTATTACATGCAAATACGTTCACCACCTCATACAAAAAGAAAAAAACCCATAAGAATGATGATTTTAATGCCGGACATATGTCCGTCACGGGAGAGGTATGTATGACACACACAGTAACGCCTGTCACCGCCTGCCTTTATAATGTCTTGTGTGGACAATTTATTCACACACATAGAAATACTCATGTTGTGCTGCGGTCTTAGTGTCAGCTTGTAAACAAGCATAGTACAAATGTGGAGTTATTCATACAGGACAAATATTTCAAGTGTATTTGAAAAGACATTACTGTCAGCTATAATTCGTTTTTAAAACGTTAAACTTCTACCTCTTGAAATGAACAGATATTTAGAAGTGATACCTTTTGATACAAGCAAACCGATGACTTTTTAGTTTCAGTGTGTTCAGTTTCGATGTTTACCACTCACTGTTTACATGTGCTGTGACAACGATGAATCGTTTGTGGAAACATAATAAAGGAAATACATTTGTCACTTGTTGATATGTTGGTCTCTGTAAGTCGCTACTTACTTGTTGTGGCATAGTGAAGTGAAAGTTTCCGAGACATAACAACATTGCAACTATTCGTAAACGTCGCCAATAAAAACACCACTGTGATTTAAAACTGTGTTTAGAATACATATAGATGTAGGGTAGGTTGGCTGAGAGCTGTGTTAGCGATGTTTGCATGTGTGAATGGTGCACCTGCATGGGGTTGTGTCACTTACAACCATGTGATATTTATGTCCCCGCCTCTACTTATATACTACCGGGCAAAAAGAAACTGACCACTTGTAAATAAAGTTGTATCTGAATTAAAGACGATGTGATAAGTTAGAACGTTATCAGAAAACGTTGAAAAAACACGACCTGTGCTCGAATGAAAGTCGCTCTTTGCAGGTGGATTGTCTTGATGCAGCCGTCTTCAACTGGCGTTGTGACCTTTGGTCTTTCTTTGTATCTGGCCTGTTTGCTGATAAGGGCTCAAGTTGCTGCAACGTCAACGGCAGCGACGGCAGCGACGGCAGCGACGGCACTGGGACACATTGCTGGTATCGGAGCTTACCCACCATTCCGTGGAATGGCCTTGACCCCTCTACAAAGTAACCGCGAATTACAATAGGCAAGAAATGTACGTCGGTGGCAGCAGCGTGATTGGGAAAGGGTGCTGTTCACAGATGAAGGACGCTTTAACTCGTTCCGAAATGATGGCCGAGTCCGTGTTTATTGACGTAGGGGAGAGTGACTGGCACATAACTGCATCCAAGATGTGCACCCTTATGGTGGAGGCGGCGTCATGGTATGGGGCGGTATTTGCGGTCAGTGGACAACGAGGCTTGTCATCATCTGTGGGAATGTGCCCAAGATACAGAGATGAAGCGTTGCGACCTGTTGTAATGCCATTCTTACGTGGACAGCCAAGGGGTGCCCTTTTACAGCAGGAAAATGCACGACCTCATACCGCTAGACTTGTTCAACAATACCTACACAACGTTAACGTCAACATATTGCTTTCACCAGCATGTTCACCAAACATGAATCCCATACAGCATTTCTTAGATCTTAGAGCTGTTGAACAAGGCGATAAGTTTACATTGCCCGGTAGAGTATTATTCTCCTGAGCAAAACACATTTTTGACTATGTTGATGAACTTCTGATTTAGCTACGCGAGGTTTTAAGTCATGGCTAAGATACTAGTTAAGTGTTATGCTGGTTCTTCTGCTGTATACTAATAATATATCTACAGACAGAAACGATGTCAGTGTAGGAAATGTACTCATCTACACAGCAATCTACATCATTGGTTATTTATGAATCAATGGGGTCCTAGTTATCATTGAATATGTTTTAGCACATACACACGCGACACATTCCCACCAATAGCAAACTGAACCTAAAACCATTTACTTAATCTTTCAGGTGTGTTCAATGTTTTACATAATCGTTCATAGTTTTCAATGTATCAGTGTGTGGGATATAAACTGCTTGGTAGCCTGTATACTTTGTATCAAATTCAATTATGAAGGTTCATGTTCGTGCATTTCGTTCATACAAATGAACTCAGTGTGTCAAAATGAAAGACCTGGTATTAAAAATATAACATTTTGAATTTTCTAACACCATTATAACATTTCGATAATTATAAATAAATTGTTCGTTTATGTCCCTGTTTCGTATTTGTTTAAAGATTATAAAGTGATATATATTTGATACAAATGTGTGTCTCGTGATATATGTCATTGCACTGATGGTGGTGTCGGTCACATGTCTTACACATCAAGGGTGGTGTAGAGATATTGTCGTAGTTGCTAAATGCGTGCTTTCAATTTTCTTATCGTGCTTTGTACCTTGTACACTTTGTAAGAGCACATAGATATATGTTCGGCTGTTTTGAATTCAGTCCGTTTTGTTAACTTGCAAAGGTGTGTACAACCTAACTTCATAGTTTCTTGAGAACTGTAGCCATAATCCAAGCATTTCATGCGACAAAACAACCTTTGTGCATGTGCTCGTTGATACATGTTTGAGCTCTTAATGATCTCAATTTTAACGATTTTGCTTTGAACGCAATGTGATTGAAATGCAGATACACATACGGCCAATAGTAACATTGTAATCGTCCAATGATGATTCCACATGGGGACACTAAAGGAAACATAAATGAGGTGTGTGTCACATCCATTGACAGTTCCAAAGTCCACAGCAAAGATGAATGGATCATGATGCAATTATGCTGGCACTGTGACTGTTGTCAGCATCAGCCTGGGTCAGATGACATATTCATGACACATTCAGTACAGTGTCGGAGTAAGTAAGTCAATGCTCATCCACTAAAACTACGATCACAGTCATACACTAGTTTTGTTTTGTATTGTCTGTGCCCAACATTACAGAAGCTTGCTTTTTGCTTAGCAGTTTTGTTATGATACATCCATATGAACAAATGAACAAATGTTGAGTAGAAAAAATATAAGGAACTCATCGCAAAATACCTTCCTTCCACATCACCTTTAATACCATGTTTGTTTGTTTGTTTGTTTGCAAAAGTAAAATGTGTTGCGCTTACAAAACACACCAATGAACAGCGCATAGCCACACATATGTTGCTTCATATAATATATATGTTTTGTTGAGGGTTTCTATTTGTCCATTTGGTTTATAAAAACGTAAATAATGAACAACCACATAATCCTGTAACCAATAGCTCTGTAATTACATTAAGATGTACAGAAACGTGTGAACTGGAATTATATGGACAACAGTAATATATTCCTTTTCCTTTCAGACTGCAATCAGAATGGAGAAGGATTTCCTCAAAGGTAAATTCCAGCGTGCTGTCTTTGTCCTGGCAACTGTAGGAGTAATCATCTTATTGACGGTAGCCAGGACTTACCAGCCAGGGACATTTTATCTGCCAGCGATAAAAACCTACTACAAACATGGTACATGTCCAAGTGTACTCAAATATATGGTGGCTGGTTCGTGGGCCACACGTCCTATCACACACAAAGAGGAGGATGAGATTGAAGCCTTTTTACTTCAAGGCCTCTATGCTGTAAATGGAAGTAATAATTTCGAACTGATGGATAAACGATGCGGGAACCTGGGCTACTATCCATGGAAGTCAAGTGAGAGAATGGCAGACTGGACAAGAGCACTGTGTAACCCAAGGGGAAGTAATCCTTGTTGCTATAACAACACGTGTCAGATGAAAACAGTTGAAGAATGTGTCTGTACAGACTGCTATGACCTTCGACCTCAGTTACATGCTGAATATTCGAAATGGATTCCCAACGATAGCAGGTAATAGGGTAGGAATAATTAACCTAATGACTGCTTTGTTCTGTTCCTCTCGAGTAACAATTTCGAGTAACTATTCCGATAAAAATCTGAAGAAATGTCATACAGTGCTCTGTTCTGATTTTAACATGATCACAATTTAAATATTAGTATGTTTGTCATTTACCTGGCCACTTTATCATGCATTGTGACATTGTATAAGCTATAAGTATAAGTATTATGCTGCAAATGTTGGCCTCATGACATATTCAAAGTGCTCTATAACATCGAAATGTCTGCAATGCAAAACGTTAGTTTAACCATCTCACAATCTTCCCAATCCTATAATTCAGGTGAACTACAGAACGTTGTTGCTCTCTTTTCCCATGTAAGGGTTGCCCCAAAGGAAAACCAACGCAGTGTACGGTATATTGTAAGACCAGGGCCTAGAAACGATCTTAGCTAAGATAAATTTTAACAACTTACGTTCAAAGATAAAATATCTTAAGGTGAAGATAACATAGATTTTCGAAACTATCGTAAACACGTCGCAGATCGTTCAGAGTTACAATACCTATCGTAACTCTAACAAGGAACCTATTTGTGTTAGAGATTGAAAAAGCGGGTTTTTTCCCAATGACGTCACGGGGATTTCCCAGCTGCTGACAATAACAACAACATAGATAAGTGACATGGAATTCATGATCACATTGTCAGGTCACATTCTTTACCATGCACATATTTGAGTGACATTCTGTACAATCCTACATGTAGACGTTTTGTTCTTATGATAAATGATGCCATGACTATTGACTACCCGAACACAATTAGCATTCGTGTGCCATGCAATAGTATTTTTCAAAACCAATAAATGTTATAACAATAAGTGTAGTGTTACCACACTTTAGCTATTAGAATTGAAATAATGTGCGAAAAGATACTTCACTATTTTCCCCGTCAAATAGTCCTCTCGTGAGCGCGCATAACTTTATGATATAAACACATCGCGTACAAAGTCAAGGACGAAAGTAAGGGACGTTATTCTAAATGACAATGACGAGACCTTTGATTGAACTGCATATGCGTTCAACATTTAACATGAGTGTTCAAGTCTGATGTTAAGTGATGCATACTGTATATGTTTGTGTTTATTTCCTTGTTAAATCAATAAATACTACACTGTATAGTTAAAAGTCAATTAACCACCCGTCCCACACGATTTTAGATGTAAAAACTTATGCGAAACCTTTATGGTTTTTTTTACATATTTAGATTAATATAATTTTATAAAATGCGAAAATAAAGACTAAAACATTGACACAAATGCAATCCAGAAAATATAACAGCGGAACTCTGCGCGTTATGAAAACTGTAACTTTGAGCAAGGTGTCCCAGGCGATTACAAAGGGAAACCACTCTCAACTAGAGTTTGAACTAAGATTAGCTCCCCCTGAGTTATCAATTAGGTCACGGTCATTACTCTAGCCTGCCGACACCTTCCGTTTTTATCCTTCCCAAATTATCGAAAAGGTATGTTGTCTCACACTTCTACAGCATGGACTCGGATAGAAATATATTGTAAGCTATCGACTCCACAGTTATGTGGATCGCTGTTGCGATTAAGAACATTGTTTACGTGAAATCCTTGATGCGTTCTTCGTGTTTTCGAAGTGTCAATTGAATCACTCAGTTTTACAAAATGAAATGTCAATGTTTGAACGTGAAGCAGACTAATATTTTGGCAAAATATCAAGGGAAAAGTATGCCGCCATCTTGGATGAAGATATAATAAACTGACGACAGGTATGGGGCTATCTTAGATTTACGACAATCTTAAGATAGCTTAGGGCTACGATAGTTTCGAAAATATGCTACGATAGCCTACGATTTCCTCACGATAAATTTATGATAAGTTTAGGGCTACGATCGTTTCGAAAATCTAGGCCCAGTAACAGAGTTTGTCATAGCTACTAGGCATTTGTTATGCAAGTAATACAGGCGCGCATTTAATGTACAGATAAATGTTTTCACATTTGTACCAAGTACATCCTTAAACTTTTTCCTAAAGTGAGAGGGCAATGGAAAATTGGGAACTGACCAATACCAGAATGCTGTTAATTTACATCGTATCAGATCTTCAGGATTCAGCTTGTCCAGATCCAGCTGATGGAGTAGACAGGATTTACCTGTAAATAACACACATCACTTCCAGTGCATTTTTGTCTGAATCTTCACAATACTGTAGTGCAAGCACCAGAGGGTAAGGCAGATTGAACAGACATACATTCGGGATGTAGTGTGTGAAATGTCACACATTCTTCAAACAATGCAAACACCTCGTAACTAGCTTTGCTTTTTGTATAGGCTACACTTGATCATGTAAACATTTATGCATCATTTAGATTGTGACTGATCTTAAAATGATTGTTCACGTGAATGATGACTAAAACCACACTTTCATGGAAACATGCCTCATAATTGTCAGTCGCATTTGTCTGAAGTAGTGAATATGCAAGTGGTAGCTGTCCCAATGACGAATTTCCGGGTTAGAACTGAAGGGTTAGTCTTCACCAACCCGTGCTTGTCATTAGAGGTGATTAACCAAATCGGGTGGTCAGGTCTCGCTGACATCGTATCCCAAATGCGGAGATAGATACTCACGATTTCCATCACTGGATTGTCTGATTCAGACGAACTTCAGCTATTTTTATTATGGTGATCAGTTAGTCACTTGGGGCAATACAAAACGTTCGCTGGTGATGCCGAAGGCCTGGACAGCTACTTTAAAATTTTAACATTTGCCTACCACTATAAATGGACATTAGGTAACTCTGATGGTCCTTACAGTAGTGATCAGGATCTGTTTTTGTCAGATGTCAAATGAAAACATTTTCACCCAACGCTGCCTGTGAGCTGCTCCGGGGAGGCACCTATCACTTCTATGGGGACTCCATTGTCAGAATGGTGTTTCTGGCCCTCATCATCATACTCAAGGGAGATAAGCAATATGGCGGACTTCGATCCGATGCACCTGCTGGTATGTAAGCCTTTTTCTTCTGTTCAATGATTCAATCATGCATAAGGAGAAACGATATTGTACCTCCATGGTGCCTTTACTCAATATTGATGAATTAGAACTTACGATTTTTGTTCATACATAATCAACTGTAAATTTGGATTGTAAGCAACCTACACAGTGAGTTTCATATTTCATAAAAAAATAACATTGGGTTAGGAGAAATGAACTGAGCACATAACAGTTTAAAGTCCTACCAAATCAAGCCAACCTGACACATGTTTATTTCTTTACAGACATTAAGAAAAGATGTAATGGGATGTATGTCTTTCCAACCCGTAACTGTCGAGCGTATTTGGACTACACTCCGAAACTCTGCAACGGAACGGTAACACTGCTCTTCCGTCATTATCCACAGAGTAACGACGTTCCTAAGATGAGGCAAGATGTTAAACTGGTTCTTGGAAAACCAAAGTCTATTATATTCTTTGGCGCTGGCTCATGGCAGCAATTTGATCGCCGAGCTATGAAGAAATATTCCTTGGCTGTAATCACCTTACTTAAGAATGAAACCTGGCCAAAGTTGATATGGTCAGGGTTTCATTATTTCGGCCTCTGGCATAGACAAGTTGTATCAACTTCAGACAATGAACACGCTGAACCCTTCAACAGATATATGGAGGACCTGGTGGGAAGGTTCAATGTACCCGTGTTTGATACCTTCAACATGACTAAAGGAGTGAGGAGTGTGGATGGCGTGCACTACGGCCCTGGGGTCAACTTTGTTAAAGCTCAGATATTCTTGAATTATATTTTAGAATTACAACGTCACGCAATGTGGACTTGACACAAGCCTCGATTATTCGAGTCTTCGAGTTATTCGAGTTATAAGAAGCTCAAAGTACACTGCAAAGAAGAAAACGTCGTTTCCTTCCGTATATGGTCATTGGACGGAAAAACTACCCTTTTGGACGCTTTCAAACAATAATTTTTCCGTCCAAATAACTTTGTTATTTGACATCGGAATTTACTCGGAGAGAATGATATCATCAAGCAGCAGCGTCTACTGGTATTCTACCACTTAAATGTCATTGCTCTGTTCTCACGTGTCATATTACAGGCCGGAGTTTGACTCTGTACTCGTAGCGCTTAGTGGAAGTGCTGAATTCAATCGATCTGCACGTGCGATTGTTTAGTGCCTTGTTCAAATTTTCCGTTCAGTGCATGTGCGATTTTGCGTATTGTTTTCTAGAATTTAGGTCACCACTATTTGACAGTGATTAATAAACACAATCTCATGATAAGGTCGGAGTCGTATAATCTCGCTTATATTTATTACATGTACTTGATCGGCAGGCATTTCTCATTAATTAGTTCAATGATAATGGTGAAAATTTTAATCACAATATTTAGGAGAGTGCAAGGCTCAGGAACAGCTGAGTATAGGAAAAGCATAAAAAACTTACGCAAGTTATATAACCATCAAATACGCAAACCAATATAAACCTGATTAAATTGCCGGCTTCCACAACTGCTTTTTGTAGAAGGTGAACTTGGAGTACATTGACAGATATGATATGCATATATATTTTTCAAATATTCCTTGGAATTGAGGAAACTGCTTATTAATAGTTTTAAGGTTCACATAAACATGCACAGCTACACCACTAGTTTGTCATTCATAATAACGGGTCAGTTTTCAATCTTGTACTGACTTACTCTGGTGTTACACCCCATTTGTTACTGTTTCTTACATAAAGAGCACAGCTCCGTGACAGTCCATACCACTTGAGATGAAAATGATGTTCCCCAACCAAGTAAATGAATTAATGAATGTCTAACGCCACAGTCAATCAAAGACACAACAAAATGCCTTGTTTGCTGACACTGATCGACCAGGTGGATCCACATTTAATCCACTCTGTGGACATTCCGGGTAACGAAAAGGCCCCCATTTACCGGGGAATCACTGGCTACCTATAGAGAATTATTATTATTATTCATACGCTATTCCCTCCCAAAACACCGTCCCGCTCAAGTTGACTCTCTTCCTGCTTAAATCAATCAGCTATGCCGCCCCCCCCCCCCCCCCCCCACACACACACCTCCACCCCACCCCCACCCCCTTCCAATAAAGACATTTAATAGTTACACAGTTAAGGAGACGCTTGCAACTTTATTACATTTAATCAAATGATTCCAACAGCGCAACTGCTCACAAGAAGCTGCAGTTAGCATGTCAGTTATAAATACGTTCATCCGCGATATTTTCTACGCTAAGAAGAGCAAAGTTAACATGCTTATTCACCTCAAGTTACCATCCCGCCCAAGAGGTATTTTCTTTATTTGTTTTATGTTGTATCCAACAGTCCAACAGTTATAACTACACACACGCACTCTCTCTTTTGCTAAAAAGCAACAAAAAAAACAGACGTACATGAAGTTGAAAATTAAACTACTCCTTATGGTTGTTGTAATATTGATTGTGACAATCTCTCTAACGATTGTGTTGATAACATCCGAGCAACAATTAACAACACAGGAGAAAGTCGAACATAAGAGGAAGTTGATGTTGAATAAGAAGAATATGCACGTGAGGAAAGGCTATTCAAGGGTGCATCTTGATCATGCACTCTCTAGAGAGGACTCTACCTAATGCTGGAATGTGCAAACCTTGATTAACGAACTTGGACATGGTTGCGTTTCCACGGAAAACGTTTCCTAGCAACCAAGGAATAAGGGCCAGTGAGGCTTGGATACTCGAATGCAGTTGGATGGTCACAGTGAGAATCTTCGACCAAAGAACTAGTGAATATGTTTTGAAAGATCTTGAATGTGATAAATTCGAAAGATCGATGCCCTTAATGTTGATGGTTTTACTTGGATAGGCACTAATGGTAATATCACTGACTCACGGGCCAAACGCAGGGCTGAGCTTGGCTTGGGTGTTAATGGGTGGTTTGTTTTAGTTTTTTATAACGAACTTTATTGTGGATGTTTTAGACACAGATGACATTTTTTGGGTCAAGGTAACATCCTGTGTGGATCCAGATTTAGTACTTGTTTTCTGTGATTGCAATCTGCCGCCTGCTACAGGTATGTGAAGAGTGGCTGCTCTGTGGCTGACTATGTCATTACATCGCATAAGTGAGTGAGTGAGTTAAGTTTTAACGTCACATCGAGAGTATTTCAGCCATATCGTGACGAGAAGTACATTAATAATACATATATTTATACAATATAAAAAGCTGCCAGCGATGGAACATCGCAGGAAGAATTGGGAAAAAAAAAACTGTTCAATGTGTACCAAATGTCTGATGGTATTGATACTGATTCTGATGATTTAAATCCCTCTATCACACGAACAGAGGTGATCAATGTTATTACCCGAGCCAAGTTCAGGAAGGCACTCACTAAGTTAATGTTGATCGGTTGGCGGTAGGCGTTCTTAAGAATGACTGAGGTAAAATTAACGGTGTATGTATGTGAGCATGAATAATACGGATACATGATGACGGCTATGGTTATAGTTATAGTTATAGTTGTTAAGGGAATGGTAGAAGGGTGTATGTATGTGAATAAGGATACATGATGACGGCTATAGTTATAGTTATAGTTATAGTTATTGTTATTAAGGGAATGGTAGAAGGGTGTATGTATGTGAATAAGGATACATGATGGTGGCTGTGGTTATAGTTCAATTTATGTTTGGGAGTAGTGGGAGGATGGAGCATGTAAGCATGCACATGGATCTATGAGGGCTGACAAAGACGTGGTTGTGATGGTTGTGCCGATATGGTGGGTACAAATGAATACGATGTTTGAGTGGGGATACAAGGGATGGCGTGGATGTAGTAAGATGATTGTGTGACGTGGTTATGTTGTTGAGGATGCATGTTAGCAAGTATGAGTATGGATACATGCAGACTTGTGGTTGGGGGACTGGCTGTGCCTATACTCATGGCCTTTTAAAACTCACTTATTGTGTTTTCTTTTTATCAATAAATGTTTTACGCATTTTAATGACTTTAGTGTTTCATAGGTCATACTGGCCGGGCATTCTACATATCTACCCCAACAACCCGAGTCAGTAAGTGACTAGAATTGAACAGCTGTCTTTGTTCTGTAAATCACACAAAGTTTCAGCTTTCGCCTGTTCCTTTGTGAAATAGGGTTTTACAGTTGTAAAATGATCTCTCTTATCTGTCTGTACCATCAACTTAACTGCCCTCGCCTCTGCAGTTTCCAGTCCCTTATTGCCAAGCACCCACAAGGTGCCACATGGTCTCCGGGGTCGCTAATGACCAAGGGAAGGTGCCTAGCACAATATGTTGTGAGTGAATGGCCTTGCTGTGGCTAAATGGTTTGTAACAATTTAGCAAACTTTGGTATGTAAACAGCAAATATAATTCAGTTTTATGTCATCTTAATATATCAGTTGAATCCTACTTGATCCCTGAAGATCCGGGTAAGGATAGGTCTTCAGCTACCCATACTTGCCGTGAGAGGCGACTATGCTTGTATTAACAAAAGTTATTGTTTTTCATATTAAACATAGAGAGAGGTATTGACATGATGGAGATTTTTTTTAAATATTGGCATTATTAATTCTTAAGGATATTATGTTCTGTTTGTTTGTTGTTAAATGCCGTACTCAGCAACTTAAGGATTAAGTTCAGTTAAATGATAAATCTGTATTTTTTTGCAAGTTACAAGGTGATAATGTAATGTATAGTCGCTATGCTTAAAAGTAAGCTTCATACTAAATGTATCTACCACATTAGTGCATTACAAAGGATAATCATATATTGTGACTTTATTGTACGTCAAAGTCAATGATATTTGTATATGCCATAGTTACATGATTGGTTCGACACTGCTACGTCATGATAAAGCAATGATAAATTGACATATATTTGATGATATAAGATTGCTTCGCGATAAATCGCAAAGAACAAGAAAGAACAAAGTGCGATTTATTTCAGGATAAAACATTGTTCTATCATGACAAACATGTGCTCCCAATTGATGACGTCGTAAAATTGACAACGTAACATATTTAGAGGGAAGTGTCTAGTGAGTTGTTCCCCATAGATGTAGCTGGTCAACGTAGACAAACGCAATGCCCGAACGATCGCATCCACTCTGGGCTGCGCCCCTCATGGTCTGTCATCTCTGTAGTGTTTTACTGTACGATAAACAACTCCCGCTTGTCGTTTGTTTCTTAATTGCATGACTATACACTGACATTATCTCTCATGTTTATCAGTTAACAAAAGCGACAAAAGCCCTTCCATTATCATAAGATAACCTTGCCAACAATATTTGCGACTACACGATTCCAACAACACCAGGAGCTTGTGTCACGATTCACCATCAAACACTGATAACACTTGGTGCTCGCAAAAAGGCGAGTTCACCTCGCCCAACCAGTGGCACCTACCACACACACATGCAAAGGCAAGCCAATTGTTCACCCTAAAAGGTACTTGAACACACGGTACAAGTCAAGATAAGGAATTGCATTTTGGCCATACGTTAAAGCTGGAAATGCCGTCTACACGTCAAACACAAAGCCCCACCCAGGCCCCGAATCCTTTAAACCCCACCAAACAACCCCTAGTTCTGCACCATGGCTGTGAAATATATCTATTTTATGAAAAATAACAATAATCTAGATATGTATACAAAAGCAAGCCTAGCCAGCTCCAGCTAGCTCTATTCTACACTATCGGGAACCATATTTGTTTAATTTTAGCGTCGAGAAGGTCATTGTGTAATGTAAGATTTCACATGTTATACTAAACAACACTCTGACACAACCAGTTCCCTAACACCAAAGTTCTAATAATTACGCACATATTCCCATCACCTAAAGTAATCTATACCATTTCTGGAGAAAATCGTATTTACCCCTATACGTATGAATCAACATTTATTACCAGTTACAGGACCACTGATAAACAGAATATGTACACTTTCTGAAAGTAATGTATGATGAGACACGCACCAAGCCTATACTCTTGAGGAACATCTTGCTCTTATTTAAAAAACAACAAAAGACTATTGGGTTAACTAGATACGTGCATTAAAGTGCCATGCTTTCCTGCTATCATTCTAATTTGAAGTAATGACATAAATTGTTACTACTCATTTTTCAATATACTAGTATATTTAAACAAGGTTGGATTAATCACAAACATGTTAAGGTATATACAACAGATAATATATTCAACTTGATGATTTGGTCGTTTCTAAACAAAAGACCCTGCTAATGTCATTGAACTCCAAGCAGAGCCTACCCATCCTATGTATGAAATGAAATTTATACATTTCAGCACATTCTCATGAACAGTTATCATAATTGTGCTTATGTAAAAGATGACAATCATTAAAAAACGTTAATATAATGAAGATTTATTTTCAACTGGCTTTACTCAGACATTGTAGCTTTAAGGCATCAGGTAAGTCGGTCATATTGGCCCTGAAACAAATATTATCCAATACGGCCCAATATTTGGCAAAATGTAGAAAGTCTCTTGGCTTCTTTTTATTATATTTTATAACTATTGCGTTAAAACTTTTTTTATGTAAAATATATTCATTTCAGAGATTAGATGTCAGTCTAGCATTAGGTCTGTGCTACGTTCACTGCATCAGTGTTGACATTAAAATGATATTCATACATATAAAGAAATGATTTGCAATTATCTCTAAGGAAGGGTGCCCGCGTTGCTTAATACATATACTTATGGACATATATGTATTGACATTTGGATGAATATTGATATACCCTCTTGTAGGTAGTGATCGTAGATGATCGTAGAACGTGCATAAAGACAATTGAAAAAATGTATGAGTTATCTGGTTTATACCATGTTTAGCAATATCCAGCCACATTGCGACATTAGTTTCACACATACAAGACGGACCATGAAATCATGACCTGAATTTGGACCTGACTTTCTGGTGTGATGTGACCACTTGTCCATAATCTCTCGTAGAAAGGGAGCCAAAAGCACGA